AGCTAGCCTCCCAGAAACCTGCATACTCTGACCCCACGCTTAGCTACATTTTGGCAAAATTTCAAAAGTTTTTTACTCTTCTCGCCTTTTTCCTACTATATATATCTACTTTGCGTTACAGTCAGAATTTTGTTCAGTTTGGCACAGAATATTCGTCTATACAGTTACAATCCTGCACATAACCCTTGTTTCTTCCAAACGAGGTGGGTTGGGAGGTGTCGAATATCTAAGAAATTTAAACGTTTCCCCTGTAATTTATTTCATTTCATTTCAACTGCCGCCAAACTTTCTGTTTTTTCAGGCAGTGTAGGTCATAAAACGATTTGATAAAATTAAATTAACCGTTTAAAGATAAAGTTAGTTTAAGTAATATTTCAGATCTCGGCTCATACCGCAAAGAAAATACGTTTAACTATTACAAAGATCAGCGTTGGTTAAATATTCTCTGTTTAAAGTAAGAATATTAAAAGCCATGTAAATACAAAATTAATTATTGATTGTTGAAGTAGGTGGGGCAAACCTATCTGGGTTTTAAGGGGTTGAAAGTTGTTAGGTCGATAATTTAATTCAAAATTCGTATATACAATAAATTCCAGGTTTCAAATATTTTCTCACTGTGATCTACTCTTGTATTTATTAAATCTTCTTTCCAAAAACAAAACTGTTTCAACTTCCATCCGGCGATGTTTTCAGCCGTCAGAAAAGTTAACCTAAAACACACCGGAGAACGTCCTGCAACCAAAAATAAATTGCAGTGAGGTGCAGATGGGAAATTGTTTTATAAAATTACATTTCGATGTAATTATTCAGATTTTGTTCCGCGACATTATATCATCTGGCGAGGGCTACAAATTATAGTCGGGGGGGCTAAAGAGTATTAGTTCAAAAATACCTCACTCTGAAGATGGCAGGTGTAAAAGGTATCGGTAAAAGTAATTAAAATTAATTTGTATTCGGAAATTTTTAGGAATACAACATTTATATGTGAGCCTTGTTATCTACGTTCCCGTAAACAGAATTCATGTCTTAGAAAACGTAAAATTGAATTCAAGGCTTGAAGAAAAATTGGAATCCATAATGTATGCTTCAATTTCCATAGCAAAAATACAGAGAAGGGAACCTCGTTTTGAACACTCTGCTGGATATCTCCCGCGTAAACAAAGACTCCACGTTTTTATCTCTTTATTTTTAAAAAAAATTCAGACTTTTCTTTCTTCACTGCATAGTGAATAATTATACGTAAATGGTACCGACATATCGATAATGAAATTAAATGAGAGATTTTATTTAGATAAAGCGAATCATTATATTATTGCTTTCATAGCTCGAAACTTAATTGGGCAATTGTCAGAGACAGTGCCTGCCATTACAGCACTGATTAATGGAAACGCTAAGATAATGAAGAAAGGGTGGAGATTAAGGGATCTTTCAGCAACTTCTGTCTTTCCAGTGCGATGTCTGCTGGCAACAAGACGTATGACTAAGAATCTATTAGCATTATCTTTACTGTGTTTTTCTGTATATAAGCCAGGCGCATTAAAAAGAACAGTGACATAACAGTGATATTAAACGACTGAATTATAGGCTAGCACTTCAAAGTATTATAATGGCTTTCAATAATATACTTCATTAATGGTGTTATTTTACATGATTTTAATTTATCTTAAAGACAATGGCAAAAGGTTCTTTTATTCGAATCAAAAGTGTGAAAAATTACAGGAAATAACTTTGGGGAAAGGAACCCGCTAAATTATTTTTTCCAAAGCCAGTACTGGAGCTAAATTCAGAGATGAAATTTACAGTAAGGAGCGCTGTGTTGGTTTCAGAGGCCCTTGCTGCCTCCATCATCAGGGCGATTATCGGTAAACATTTACCAGACTCTACGGCGCAACAACTCAGAAGACAGCAATCTTAAAAAAATATTTAATCTTTGCTTCCGTAATTTACGTATGAATGTGTGATTTGGTGATATAATTTGGGCTTTATCTGTACCCTCAAGGCATCTGTAACGTAATACCTTTAAGTTATGTTAATAGTGTTGAAATTTCGCTGTCTACCGCGTCTCGACGCTAAAAGCATTCGATAATCACTCTGTGCGTATGGTACTGCAATATTAAAAGCAGTTTCGCTTTGGAGTACAAATTCTGTGTGGCCTACTTTATTTTTAATTAGGTAAATTTACCAGAAAGGATTTGAGGAACTCAGACGCATGTTAAATTAGGATTAAGAAACTTTGTGTGGTGATAAGAATTTATACAGTCTGTGCACAAAATCATAGTCGGGAGGACACACTATTTTATCATGAATTTTATTCCTAACGTACATAATGGATTTTTGTAGAATGTGGTGTTTGGTGTGTCAACTAATATCTGTGACAATAAGTCAATTTTATTCCACGTGGATTTTTTGTCCGAATGTTTAGTCTGCAGGAAATTCAAGTCAAATTTTTATGATTTCTTTTCAAAAGAGTTTTATCTTACACAGATTGGGTGCATGACAATTACAAGCCTACATTTTAACTAAAGTCTTTTTTTGGTGGCCCTTAAAAATGCTTGTATAAGCACGCCTAGACCAATTTTACAATCATTTAATTTGTTATACTTTTATAGTCAAGTTATCCTGAGATTTTCTGTGATTACTGTGAATATTCTGTGTATTCTGTGAATACTGAAACTCGTTCCTTCTCTACTGTGATCCATATTAACCAAATATTCAGAATTCAACATTTTGTCTCGCGTCGTACCGTCGGTGGAATTGTTGCATCATGAGACTGCTCCCTCTGCCTGAGGCAACGAAAAGTTAAATTAATTCTGAAAGCCATCTCAACTCCTTGTTCCTTAGAATTCCAAAATTTTACTCTTTCTAAACAAAAGAATGATTTTATCCGTCTTCGTAGCTTCGGCTGGTATCTAACACAAACATTTTTGGCTATATGGACTTTGACGTTTTCATTGAAGGTTTATGGGATGTATTAGGTCTTTATCGAGACAACCCAGACATTTCAGCGCCGAGATAAAACGT